GACCCCGACGTGCCAACTGCAGGAAGACATGCAGACAGATGGTGAAGATGCTGTAGCTCAGACATAAATCTGTCCTGATAAATATGCAGATTCTGTCTTAAATTACTTTGCACAAAGATATAACCAATACATCAAATCTGAAATCTGATTTTTCTGAAATGAAGCTGCAAACTCACCTCAATAGCATAAGCTTTACCAATGCCAGACGTGGCACCAGTTACAACTGCATGAAGAAATTAGTAGAGAAAAGTCAACTTTGTCGAATGTCTAGTGATTTAAAAACATACATTTTAAGTTTGGTAGGACAGATTATTTTAGCAAACTGATCGGAATGTACACATGACATAATTTCACAATTCAGACAACTTTATTGTCAAAACAAAAGCAAAGAAAAGCTTAAAAAGATCCGAGCTAAAGATGAGGGATGAGATAAGCGGTAAATGACTGAAAACGTTCCTGAGCTTATGTTTGGCTATAAGTGAGTGAGATTTACAGTTCAAGTTGTGGCCTGGGAAAACTCGCCTCCCCTAACCGCTACCCTCATGGAAAAATGACATTCTGGGGTTTAACAACATGCAGTGTAGACCCCACACAAAGCATGTTAGCTAGTAAGTTAGTATTTTCATCAGCAAGAAGGGGATGCTAACTCTTTACAGACCACACATGAATGACAGCAACAGAAAAAATGTTCCGGCCACAGCTAACATTTTAGACACCGAGGTGACTAAAATCTAACTTTAGAGTACAGAAATGCACGTAAGATATTTCAGCGGCTAAACTATCTTAGTAACTTGAATGCTTTAGAGCAGTGATCACCAAATGGTTCAGCCAATACAAGGTTTCCCCCAGAAAACTTGCTAAGCCCTGTGGCTGGATGCCAGGGCATCCAACGGCCCGCCATGTTTTTGAGTTAAAAAATGTTTAAATTTGACAGCAAATTTGAAAAGATCACCTGATAATCATGTGTTTTTGAAAAATTGGAAGATCAATATCTGAACTCCAACTATAGAGTCTTAAAAAAATGCAAGCATTTTAAAAAGACTTAAATAAATAAGCAATGATTAGCCTGGTGGGGCACAAGTCAAGCCTGGTGGCCTGCCAGGCTTATAATACACTGGGGGAAACCATATAGACATTTTAAAAGTCTAGAATGAAATAATAATTTCACAAAAAGCTGCTTTTGCACATTATATGTGCCACTTGTGGAATTTTAACCATAAAAATTAGTAAATATAATAGCTGAGGAAGGCTTATAAAGGTGTGGAGAACATTTATGCAATTATATTTTAACTTTTTTTTTTCATCAAAAATATTTGGTTGAATTTGTGTGTGTGTGTGTGTGTGTGTGTGTGTGTGTGTGCGC